GGGGGAGTTACAGTCAAAATGGCTTGGGTCCCTTTGAAAGAACATTAATTGTGTTAATAAATATGTGAGATGTCCTAGTTATTGTCATACGTCCATGGTCTCGTGTTTGACATTCAGTAATAATGAACAARAAGACAACTGGCCCCTCTTTGGGCTCTTTTCATCCATCGTGTGTGTGTGTGCGCTGGGGGGCGTTGGCAGTAAGAAGGGCCTCCCCACAGAAGAGCTCAGAGCAGCTGCAGCAGACAAACATCACAAGCCTCATCAATAAATTGTTTTTCCAATGAGTTTTTCTAAAATCTCTGTCATGTAGAATGATTGAATCATTTTGGTGTTTGAAGCTGAGATTGACTCACTGCTGCCCCCCTGTGGCTGTAAGTGGTTCACACTGAGGAAACTTATCCACTCACCACAAGAAACAATTATTTTTATTTTAAAAACACATTCTGGTCACGAGGATGACCATGAGGATATCAAGTGGAGACATGTCTCAGGTGTTGGTTTAACCTTTTTCTGACACACATCTGGTAAAAATGTTCGCGGTACCTTAAAAAACCTGTGGATACCGAGCTTTTCAGGTGGTGGCCCCGAGGCTCTGCAACTCTCTGTCCATTCGCTGCTCAGATTCCTCTGACTTAAGACATTTTTATTCAAACAGGCCTTTAGTTAAGCTTTGTTTACTGTTTTTTTTAATTGCCATCCATTATATTTACTCACTGTTTTATTGGTTTTAGTTATTTTACTTTCTGTTAAGCACTTTGTGATGTTCGTGTGTGTGAAAGGTGCTATACAAAAAACACTGACAATGAAAATAATGCAAAAATCCAAAATTGTGAGCCAATAATAAGTTTTAGACTTTGACTTGATCTAGTCGTTCTGTTTTCTGTTTTAATTATTGTGTTTGTGTCATAATTGAGAGTATTCCTGGTTAAACTTTACTGTTTTGTGTAGCCTATTTTCACAGYCAGATTTGAAAGAAAAACATCTGCTGATCAAGACTGCCTAAAAACCAGAGATAATAGGGCCTGACTTCTCCTAGTTCATTTGTACTTCTAGTCTTGGTTAACATGCACCCGTATGGTCATGGGTATGAAAAGAAGTTGCCTGCTGCAGGTGTTTTCATATCCACAACATCAACCTCTCCAACTTTAATTATTTTGTGAACAAGAAGCTYAGATAACTGTTTGACTATATTTATAAATGTCTGCTTCCAGCAATCAGATTCTGGACGGGAGTAAGATGAAGCAAAATGCAGCGTCTGAGTGCTTTGAGCAAAAGCAAACACGCCCACAATCTTCTGTTTTTAAAGGTAAGACTTTAATTTTTAATTGTCATCGTGCTTAGAATAAATTGTAATACATCTGCAGATCATGTTACTTTTGCTATTTATAATATAGTGTATACGTGCAAAACTGCTTCATTAAAATCTCAGTAGAGATAAATCTGATACCTATCAGCCATTTTTTTGTTTTTTCCTCTGCTTTTCTGTTCCCTCACTCTTCACAAGATCAACTAGGAAGCTACATTTATAAAATAAAAACAGGTTTAAAGCTAATTTTAAGCTTTCAGTGAGAGCATTCATGCAGTTTGTGAGCTTTTTACACATGATTTTCCTCCAGTGGTCACAAGGAGTAGCAAGAAGCCAATAAYGACACCTTAGAGGTTTTTCAGAGACACCTTTCAGGAAAAAGGATTGACTTTTCATATTAATAAAAGCATGTCTGTTCATCAGCACACAGCTGCTTCTAGCCAAGCCTTTCTGTGACTTTTCAACACGGTGGATGAAACGACTCTAAGTGGGGCCGGTGAATGACTACAAGGTAACACAAACTGTGATGAAAAATAAGAGTACCAAAGCTGTTACACAGWACAATCCAACGTCACTTTAACCCAGGATCTGTCACAATCATCCTGCTGTTTGAGAGTCCCAACGTTTAAAACATCTTAGTGTTTGGTGACAAAAGACAGCATCATCTAATGCTACATACTGTGGATGCTGCTTAAAAAACAAGGCCAAACGACATGCTCCTCTTGTACCACATCCACACTGAGCGGCTCAGTTATACATTTTCAACAAGCGTAAGCACTTGAAGTAGGAACGAATAGTCAGGAACAGAGCAGAGACCGCCACCTGGGGGACATCATGCACATTGAAATGTAAAGCAGAGAAGAGGAGCATGTGTTTAACCACTTGTGATTTTACAGGAGCTTTGTTGGACGCCTGGAAGAGAAGAGGATCTATCGCYGAGCAGAGCATGTGCTTGAGTTGAAAAAAAAGACAACTTTATTGACAAGAGGAAAAAAACTATGACATACCCAGTTAACCTACTTGATCCAGTTCCAAAGCATTTGAGTGCTTTTTATGTAAACGAGACAAAGAGATTTGGGCATTTATTAATGGGAAAATACAACGTAAACTGGTAAGGAAAAAAGAAAAGATGGATGAAATAAGCAGAGAGAAGAAGAAAGGGATTAGACGAGACCTCAGAGACACATGCAAACTGGAGTGGGAGGAAAAAAGCAGGGCTCAGTTCTCAGGAGTGGGTGTTTGGAGCCCAGTTTAGAGGCAAATTTATCAGAGAAAGTTGATTTCACAAGCGACGGCTGTTAGATCTCCTGTAAAAGACGCCTTTTGGCTCATTTCARCATCATCTGTCAGCCTACCGCTGCTCTAACGATCCACTTACAGCAGGGAGGAGCAAAGTTGTTTCCAWTAAAGCACAAAGCTATTTACAGCTCGTCAGGGGAATGGTCTTTTAGGTGATCAGAGCCCAAMAGAAAGCCTCATGTTGTAAACAAACAAGGTGCAGCTCTGAACCCAACAGGTCGACAGAACCAGACACCTCATTTCTGACTCTTTATGTTCGGGACAAACTACTTCTACAAAACATGAAAAAATACTCATTTTAAAAAGTTATTTTTACTGGTTTTACATTTGCTGTGTCATATATAGGTAGAGAAGACAAGATCATGTTCAGTTAATTTATCAATTATATTTCCCAATTATTTAAGTATATAAGTCTCTAAGATAACTTGTCTGGATGCATTTTCTTAAAAAAGATTTGAGCTCATCTAAATAAAAACTAAAATCAGGACTTTGTATTTAGATTTGGAGTTAATATAGTTAATGTATTCATTTAACAATCCTTCATTTTCCTATTTATTGTCAAATAATAGTTATGACTGTTTCATTTAACTGCTTAAGACCTTTTGTTAATATTTAATGTCAATCTTCAGTTCCCATCCAGTTTTTGATTTTTCTCTTTCCGCAGCTTTGAAAATACATCAAAAATACATCTAAATATAACTTTTGGCAGCGGTACAAAAAYTGTTCCCACTCAAATTAAGGATGAAACAAGCGAGAAAAAGCAGCTCTATAATTTAGACAAACTTTACCGGAGAAACATCAAAGTTTTTAAAAAGTTACATGAAGTTGGGCTTTACATCCATTTTTACATGATTAGTTTATAACTTTTAACCATAAAATATTCAACTTATAATGATGTTACTTTTCAACTTAGGAGATGYCTAAATTAAAAAAATCTCCCAGTCTTTACACTTCTAAACATTTTACACATCAAAACATTGATATTTGATCAATTTAGATTATTACAAATGTAAGATAAATGTAGGATTATTGGCCAGCATCTGCATTAAATTAATATTCACAAACCTACTTATAACAACACTGCTTTTACATTTATAGAAGAAGAGTCTGTTCCAGTATTTTTCAAAGGTAATAAAATAAATCTAAAATTTATCAGTATTAGTTAAAACTATTTTTTCTTAAGATTTATGTTTATTCATAGATTTTTATTCTTTTTTTCCTGCTGACATAACTTAAGAACATTTTGCTGATTAAAAAAGAAAGATAAAAAGATGAAACAGGAAAGTGATTTTTAGTTTTCAGTATCTATTCAGAGTAAAGATAAAAAAATCACCACTCTGTATTTTTTGACTATTTTTATTGTATCTATTTCAGCTCCTCAAAATCTTCTGGATGTAAAAATGTTAAATGATCTTAGACTTTTACAAATTTGTAAAATCAGCTGATGTCATTTGTCCATCTGACCCATCTATGATCAAACCAGTATGACACAGCAAATGTTTGGACAAGTCAAACTTTCTTGATTTTTTCTTTTTATATATTTTAGGTGAGCAGAGGCTTAAAAGCAGAAACATTTTTTTCTAATTTATTCAGAATCCTTTTGAGAAAATTACAGTTTTCCACGACACATTATATGCTAAATGTTAGGCTGTGACTCGGGGGATGTGTGCTGGAAAAAAGCCCTCTACAGTGACCTTTCTTCTCTTGTCTCCCTCCCTCGCTTACTGGCACACAACAAGAAAAACTAAAAAAACAACAACAACTAAACAAACTGACAAAAAGAGAGAGGAAAAAAAAGCAACAAGATGGCAGAGGAGTTGAAAAAAACAGAGCCAGAAACAAAGCGACGGGAGCTTTTCACACAGGACGCGTCAAAAATCAAAGTGGTAATATTTATACCWTGACCCAGATTTTAGAGATAAAAATATTTTCATGTCTAAAGAGGAGAGTTCATGTAAACCAACACAAGAGAACACGTTAAAAGATTTGAAAACTGTGGTAGAAACCGCTGGACTGGGTGGGGGGAGTAAAACAGAGGAGATTACGTACATCGTTCCCCTTCTCGCCCTCGCCGTGTGTGAGTCTGGCCTTGCCATTGCGACTCCACTGGTTGTGATCCCCGTTGTGTCTYGCAGCAGGATTGTTTGGAGCCGGTGACGTGCCCGATGCCTTCTGTCCGTCTGCCTTGTGCTTGGATTTTAGTCTGCAAGGAGCGCAGACACGAGTTTATTGATTTACAACGCACAACCGGAACGAGAAATACGCACATCCAAACCATCAAGGTGCCCAGCTAGCATGGGATAAAAAGGGCCTCCATAACACAAGTTTGGCTCATTTATTTACACCAGCTGACGTTTTAAGCACGTCTGATGAAGAGCTGTGCTCAAAACGTCACCTGGTGTAAATAAATGAGCCAAACATGAAGTCCTGTGGTGTATAAGTCCCTTTTTTGTCTTTGCCATATTTACAAATCCTGCAATTCTTTTTGATAAACTGAGGGATTTGTGAGCACAAGTTACATTGAAGTTTTATTAATTTCCAATACGCTTAAAGGAATGGTCTGATGATTTCTGAAGTGATGTTATGTCAAGTATTTATCATTAGTTAGTACTTATTTAGTGGTGAWATCAGATAAAGAAGTATTTAAAAAGGGACGGACATCTTCTCGGAAGCTAGGCTAATGGCTAACAACTAACCCAACAACAACCCATAATGACGTTGTGTTAAGTTTTATTTCGATGTGTTTTTGTTGATAGGTTTATTTTGTATGGTTGTATTGATTTGACTTTTTTATGTCTGTATAACAGGTCTGTCTTGCTAATGAGACAATTGTGTTTCAACGAGACTAATCTGTAAATGTAACAGGGGGTGTTTGACTGAGAAAACAACTACAGGCTAAATAAATAACAGCATGTTAGATGGGGTCATCCCTAAGTTTCCAACACAGAAATTGACAACAAGTGGGAAATCAATAGCAGATGTTAATATCGGCCAAGTCTTACTTATCAGATACTGATGTTAATGCAGATACTGTATATTGTGCATCCCTATAAAGTACTATTATTATAGAACATCGCTTCAAAAATCACCTGAAATTGGGCCTCATACAAGAACATGTTCGTATTCTTATCCTGAATTTCTCTTAGTTTTGTTCGTATGAAGGGTTCGTACGAACATGTCTCATCAGATTCAACAAAGTCTTCTATCATCAGGAAAAGTGTGTAAATGAGCAGCGGAAACTGATGAATGTGTATCAGCTGCTAGTGCATGAGGAAAAGAGATTAGCATAATTACCACCCTAAAAACACCATGAAAGGCTACGTTTCCTGCCCCACATACCAGGAAG